CTGGATTCTTCTCTCAAGAAAGGACTGTTCTCTTCATTGCAGATTTTTTCCCTGTAATGTAGCTCGTGCCTGGAGGTGATATCAGATTCTCTTGTGTTCATTTCAGCATCAGGTAGCTAAGGAGGTCAACAGCACTCTTGAAATAATAAGTAAAAAAAAAGTTATATTAACTTGTTTGTACAATACTACTGCATGAACAGCTATTACATTTTATTTCTTGTAAAAGGTCAACTTTACGCTATTCTGTCTTCATACAATGAACATTAGGAAGTAATAGAAGGTAGTATAGCCATTACTTGTACATTGTGGATAGTTAATCTATAAATCCAATTGAATGTTGTCTGCCTGTACTCTGCTGGCGAATAGAATGAATTGATGAGTCCTCAAATTCCTTTTCCAGCTGAAGGCTCGGGAATTAGCTGGTCAGGCTCTGGCCTTTGTCCAGGATCTAGTTACTGCTCTCCTGAACTTTCATACATACACAGAACAGAGAGTCCAGATCTTTCCCATAGACTCTGCCATCGATGTCATCTCGCCATTAAATCAAAAGGTAAAGGCACCCAAGCACATTTTGACATTGAATGCAAAGATGTTTAACTCATGATAATCCTATCTAAAACATGTGATTGAAGCTCATGTAAACCCATGAACAAAAAATGTATACCTTTCCATGTCACCAGTGCTTAGATGCTGTAGCTGCATTAGTGAGTGAGTCTGCTTTTTTGTTTAACCTGTCAGGGAGGATGGAGAGGAAATATGTGTGTTCCACTTTAAAGCTAATTAGTCAGGGTAAATATATGGGATCTTCCATTAACATGTATGTAAGTCTGGAGTTTTTACTATTACTGGCTGCATACTTGTTAAAAGTGATCCATACCATTGCTCTCGCTACCCTATCTAATAGTATCTGTGCATAGAGGCTGTTGCAAGATCTTTATTGCTCCCTCTCTCATGTCGCAGCTCTAGCAATCCCTAGATAGCAGCTGTGATACTCTGTCTAAAACTCAGTTTTATCTTTGTTCAATTTCACTTTAGCTTCATTCATCCCTCCTTTCCCCATTGGCTGGAATTATTTAATTTTTTCTTTAGTCAGTAGAAAAAAAATAACTGTTTCAGCCAATCAAAAAGAAGGATAATGTCAATGTACTCGGGAGCAAATATTTAGGAAGCACTGGGATCTCAATGCTCAATTAAAAGTCCAAATGCACCAAAGTTTTCCAAGCAAGCTCAGTGGCTCTGGTAAGGTGGCTGCAACAGCATAACGGGCTTCCCTTAGTAGGGAACCTGGAAGTAGCTTAGAGAGTAGGCATATATTCAGAAGACACCGGGCCGAATGAGGGAAAGTCAAGAGAGTCTTTAAAGTGACATTCAAGTCAAACTTTTTTTTGCCCCTTCCCAATCCTGCTGTAGGTACTTACCTTAAATCATGCCTCTTGATTCGATCATCTTCTTTACTGTCCTTTTCAGCTGTTCCTCCAGCTCTGGTGCGGGTCTCCGATCCAGCGCTGACTCCTCTGTCTTCCTCTACTCTGACGTCCCACGGAGTCTGTGCGGGTGCACGTTGCTCCATAGACTTACCTTGTGTTGCTCCTCGTTTCCCGGCCAAACATCTGAAGTGTGCATACGCCCGCCCCAAGATCCTTTGCAGCCGCCCGAGACTCTTCAGATGTTCGGACGGGAGCGTGCGACGAAGACACAGTTAAGTTTAAACCCTTTTAAAAAGGTGTTGTTTTTTTTTGTATGTTTTGCATATATCTACTGCTTGCTAGCAGCAGATATATGCAAAAACCTATGAGGGTTTTATAATCCTTTAATTGTTCAATCACAAAGAAAACACATCCAAAGCATTTTAGGGGCAACAACACTTCCCCTTCATCATGGCTTGAAACAGTAATGTGTGGACTTAAAAGAAATAAAACCAAAGTAAATTCTTACCGTGTTTCCCCCGAAAATAAGACACTGTCTTATATTTTTTTGGCTCATAAAAACGCACTAGGTCTTATTTTTGGGGTTGGACTTATTATTTTTTTTAATGTACAACAATCCACACTTATTCATGTAGAACAGTCTACATGTATTCATGTACACAAATATGGTGGTCAGGCAATCAGGGGTGCCGTACCTTTCCAAGAGCAATTTGCTAACCAATAGCTGGCCAGAAGGAGCGAAGCGCGCTTTCACTATCGATTCCTCACAGGCGGAGTGCATTTGGTATCACTCCGCCTGCGTCAGGAGACGGCGCTATAGAGGAGGCATCGGCTTATGCGGCTCTGCTCCCTCCGGTGCCACCTCGCTTCCTCTAGTGCTGGCTTCGTTTGCACCGCTGATTCTCTCCTGCCTCTCTCGCGGCTCTTCAAGTTCCCCTTATGCCACCACCGGCCCTGGGAATGGCCACAACTAGGTCTTATTTTCGGGGTAGGTCTTATTTTCGGGGAAACGGGGTATATAGTGTTGTTTGAATTCTTCTTTTAGACTGTAGTTATGTTATGTAGGTCTGTTGTGAACTGTTGCTGATCACATTATGTACCTACAGTCCAAAAGGAGAATTCAAGCTGCACTTTATAAGAGATTCCTTTGGTTTCAGTCTGTTGAGTTCTTTTAAGTCCCCACATTGTTGTATTAAGTCCAAATAAAGGGAGAATACACTGAGTGGCCAGATTATTATGACCACCCCGTCAGTACTTTTGTTGGGCCGCCTCGTGACTCCACGAGATGACTTTGTTGGGCCGCCTCGTGACTTCTGTTGCATTCCATGGAGTCATGCGAGGTGATGCGAGGAATCTGACACTGCAGTGTTGCCCTTCTGTTGTCTTGTACCAGTCTTGCCACTCTCCGTTCTGCCCTAAAATTGACTAGTCGCTGACGGCAAACAATTTGCACGTTCAGACCCAGATTTTAACACTTTAACAATGAGCCCCTCTTGAACATTTAACAAATTCTGCTGATGTGCTGATACTCGCTCCATGGCTTCGAGCGCCAACAATCATCCCACATTCAAAGGCTGTTAAATCGCGTTGTTTACCCATATCTTCAGAAAAAAATCACTTCTACTGTCGTGGTAAACAACCTGCTTCCCTATTTATAATGGTCTGGCCCTCTAGCAACTTCAGCGTGAAATTTATAGCTAATTATGGCTAATTTGCCTACAAACATCAGGTGGTCATAATAAACTGGCCATTCAGTGTAGTGTTGCCTCTGAAACACGTTGGCTGTTTTTCCTTGGGATTAAATAATTAACGACTCTTTGGACTTTTTCACATATTAGGACTGGCACCCATGCAAGATATGTCTACAATATATGTAGGAAGACTGTGTAAAAGTACAATTTTCACAGCTGCAAGTCTAGGCATTGTTAGGGAGCTCTGGCATGAGAAAGGGAACATTAAACACCCCCTATGCACAGGGACTGTTAGAAGGGAAAGGAAAAACAATTACATAAATCCCTTTTTAAAAATCAATGGCTGGATGTAAACTGATATTATTATGATGACGACGTGCCAGATTCCTGGAGTTTCAAAAATAAACTATCAGTGGCAAGTCTTCTGTTTTTATAGTGACCGGTCATCTTTATGGGTAATGCGCACTTTCATACGACCAGTTTTTCCAGACATTTTGTGGCTTTTTCCATGCTGGCAAATTGCTGGAAGATGGAAATTTGCAGTGTTATGAAAAAGCCTTGTGCTAACAATTTCACCTTCCATTATATTCTATTGCAATGCTTTGAAATCTAATTGCAAGGAATTTGCGTAGGAGATGACATATAAAACATATAAAAAAACACTTGTAAAATGAAAAGAGATACAAAAGAAACTCATCAGCGCTCTTTATTGAATTGCTGAAGAATTAACTTTTTACACTTTTGTTAATATACACATTCAGGCAATCCTACTATGCATGTTAAAGAAAAACTCTTTTTCATATGCAAATAGAAAAGATCATATTATTGTATCCCTAATGAGGAAAATGTTGTTTCTTTCTTTATAGATGTACATGAGGGCATCCGTAATGTATGCAAGCTCTGTTCCCACTTAACAATTGTGCAACTTTTGTAACCCTTTACATCACTCTGCCTACCATACAGGGACTGTACAACTAACAATAATAGATCCTCTGCAGTCCATTCCAATCTGAAATATCCAGTGTTCCTTGTAGTTACAGACCATATGATCTAGGCTGAAATGGCTTTAGGTCAATTGAGGAAGCTCAGGAGCAGCAGTTTAATATTTATGCCAATCCTACACATAGACATAAGGTGGGCAAGAACCGGAAAATGTCTTGTAAGACTTGACAAAAAATAATTTTCTAATCTACAAGAAAAGTTATTTTTTATCGAAATAAACTGAACAAAGTGAATGAATAGGAACAAATCTGCAAAACGTTTATGCGACTCTTATTAGTAGCATCTCTCTCAGGGCAGCTTTGCACCTATGCATGCAGATGAGTTGTAATGCACATTACAACAGCCCGCTGTGTTGTTGTGCATTGACATTTGTTTTCAGTGGCATCCCAACACACACCTATAGTGAGAAATACACGTGTTGCATGTTGAAAAACAAAAAAAGACAGAAAACAGAAGCGTGCCAGACCAAAACGGATGTTAAGAGTCCATGAAAGAAAAAAAAGGTTAAGAAGTGTTGGTCAAACAGCCAACATGTTTTAGGGGCAGACAAGACCCCTTTCCTCAGGGCTGGAAAATATGACAATGAAGGAATGGACTTGGACTACAAAAACCCAGAATTTAGATCTTAATGCAGCTATGTGTAGTTCTCCCAAAATCTGTAGATTGCAGGCATCGATCTAACATCCGTTTTGGTGTGGAGCTCCTCTGTTTTCTGTCCCTGAATTGCTCCCAGTACCTAATGTTCTACCCACAAATCAAGTTGGGTTTATCATAAAAGATGGCAAGAGACACTTCCCACTGCCTCTGAAATATTCTCAGGAAAAGCAAACAGATGTTTGTTCTGTCTGCCCATGCACAGATATTGTCTGACCATCATCAAATCTTCAGATATCTTTTGGGTGTTTGGCTACGTATAGACATTTTCAGATAATCTAACTAACTGGCCAGATCATCTAAGGAAAATCTATTGTCTTTGGGTACCGGATTCGTTTACCGTCTCCCATCCCAAGATACAGAATTAAGCGTACAGTTTTTTTTAGCTCAGAGATGGTAAATTGCAGATTTGAATTTCTATACACCTATCTGTAGTTTTCCAGCAGATGGCAATGTTTGCTAACACAATCTCATTCATCGTGTGTACTGTTTAGTATAGCTCAGGGATTGTGTAGTCTTCATCAATAATCCCTTTGCATGTTACAATGTATCTCATCTTGAAGAATAGGTAATTATTGCACTCTTTTTACAGCTTGAGATAAAACAAATACGCCTGTTTGAAAACTTTATTCCTTTTGAAGGATTAGCATGCTATGTGATTTCAATTTGATACTTGTAGCATAAGAGGGGGAAAAACAAAGTGTTAAATTGACAGTGATGTATCCACTAAGCTTGATGTAACATATAAGTGGCCCACTTTGGATCCTCTAACTGGCTGCTTTCCATCACGCAGTTCTCGCACTATCTTCACGAAAATGCCTCTTACGTACGTCCTCTGGAGGAAGGAATGCTCCTGTTGTTTGAAAGCATCACTGAGGGCACCATTACCGTCCTGGTAATATTTCTACCTCATTATCTCTTTCCTTTCCCAGCTGTGAATTACTATCTCTGTCCCTTCTAATGTCAGATTCCAATTTTCATCCCCAGGAAACCACGGTGAAGCTGAAAAAATTTTCTGAGCACTTTACATCCTATGTGTCTTTTCTGCAAAAAATCCTCCCGTACCAATTAAAAAGGTATGCATGTTTTTTTATGTATTCCACTTGAGATAATAGTCATGCACATATTGATTATGTGAATTCTTTTCAAGCGGCTCTTTATGAAAATATAGATGCACCCTGTGACCTGCTTATATATGCATCCAAAGTTTTGAAATCATTTTTCTTTTCTACTTGTGTAATTACCTCTTCTTTAAACTGACTTGCCATATGCCACCTGAGAGCTAAAATCAGGCTTGCACTGGGAGTGGCTGTTCTATAAGGTCACTGGTTGGAAGGGGAGGTTCAGTGATGACCTTACAGAAGGGGCAAATGCAGCATGGGCATCAGCTGTGTGGTCCTGGAGCTGGCTCCATCTACAAGGCAAATTAGGCAGAAGCCTAGGGCACGATAAATGTCCAGGGGGCTCAGCTGCAACTCTTATGTTCCTACAGTAAGCCAGAAGCATAACGAAATTCATTAAAGCTGTGCATCTGCCTGTCCCCATACACTTGTGGGCAGTTGGTATCTGTAAGCGTGGGACAATGCCAGTGCAAGCAGAGTAACTTGGGTGGCTTCTCTGTGCCTATTGCAATTGTTATCAATGTCAGTTGAAGCAATGAGGATGGGGCAAAGATGCCTTCTTGCCTAGGTTCCCATTCTGCATGAGCAGTAGTGCTGTTTAAGTAACGTTTTTAAGCCGAATTTAAAAAGTGAGGTTAAAAAATAAAACCTATTTTGGGAAATTGGATGAAATGCAAAATGCTTATTTGTAGTCCTAATAATTCTTGAACACTATATTCTGCAGAGAATGGAAGCTGTAAAATCATTTTGATGAATGTCTGGTCTAATGTCGGGGAACGTTTTGTACTTGCACGTACTTGTACTGTGCCGTTTGTGTTCATTTAATATTCTTGTCAAGAAATCTCAACAATCATGACATACATATGTGTAGCCATATATAACTCTCCTTAGCTGAAAACCCCCCAGATGATCATGAGAAGGGGAATTCGGACACATTACTTTGGATAGGGTACATTGCAAACTCCATTGGGCCATTTACCGATACTGCTGTATAGGGCTTGTGGAGGATGATTATGTAAACCAGTTAGTGGCTTTCAAAGAGAACATGTCTTCACTGTAATTCTATTCATATGATTATCTTCTTCAGCCTGCTAAAGTTGAGTTTAGGATTGACTTTCCCTGCCTTCTGCAGCTCTTTATTGTTCCATAGCCATGATGGGCAGCTTTACTGACCAGTAATGAACACTAGAGGTGGTGGGCTTGAGGTTGACTTCAGGAAGTCAAATAAAAGTTAGCACAGTAGAGAACCCGTGACAAGTTTGTGCAGGGGGTCTTTAGGCACCCCTAGGGGAAGTAGACTCCCTTTTAAGAGGCTCTTACATGCTTCTTCAGTAGTGCAGCATCTGGTAGTAACCAGTTGCGTTCGTCTTATTGCAGTCATGGTAGGATAAAGATGAAATCTTGTTCCTATAAGTTGCTGCAATTTGGACCTAGTTGTTACATTCTGTCCTGCTGGGAAAAGGATATCGCTGTCTTCCTTCTGCAGGACAACACAAATTTTACTTGACGCTGTGCCTCCATTTTAAACTTCATTCAGAAAATGCTGTCAGCAGTATGGAGCCTGTGGTGTCTGGAGTGTTCTCTACATAACATGATGGGAGGAGAGCCCAGGCAGATGGCTTCCACAGGTCTTGTGACCGAGCCTTCCTCCTGGCACTTTTTTTCCGCTTGCCCATTTGGTAAAGTAATAGGATTCCAGTTGCTTCGGAGTCCTAAAGCAAATTTATAAATAAATATTAATTAATATTTATTTATTTATAGGGATGCAGCAATACCGGTTTGTCAGTATCAAGTAAGGGTACTGATATTTATCTTTCTGTACTCGCTGATACTGAGTACCGATACCGTTACTTCCGCTAGCATGAAGCCGGCTTCCTGGCCGAAGCTGGACGGATGCTGATTGGGTGGGAAGCCGCCTTCCCGGCCAAACAGCATTAAACTGGCCAAATGGCATGGAGCCGGCTTTCTGGCCAATCGGGAAGCCTGTCGGCGAGTCATTACCCGCCGCCCTGCTACCTGACTGACCCGGAAGCTGGCTCCATGTTCCCCATGGCACTGGCGGTCAGAGGAAATCTGCCTCTGACTGGAAGTTCCGGTATCGGGGGTAAGTATCGGCGCACTCGCCCAAATACTCGGTATTGGCACCAATATCGATACTATTATCGGCATTGGTGCATCCCTATTTATTAATTTTTGTGTATTAAAAAATACATTTGTTAGGCAACGCACTGTGCTGTATGAATGAGTTGGCCTTTGTTTTTTTCTATTTGTGGGTATTTTTATTTGGTTTTTGTTTTTTTAAAGCAATCATACCTCCTCACTTCTTTATAAATTGGCCCCTCAGAGCTGATGAGGGTCAAAAAAGGTGACACAGGTAAATTGATATTCTCATCCATTCTTTATTCCTCACTTCTGCTTTGGTTGGAGTTCTTGTTAAACATGGTTCTGTATCTGAATTCATTTGTCTCATGCTTTTGTGTCATTAGTGAAATATCTGGCTAGAACTGTAAAGATGGTTGCCGTGAATATCTTCCGCCCAGTGAGTGTTTCGCCTGCAGCTCCGAGTGTAATTATAGTTATTCCCAATGGTTTCACACAACACCTCTTTGCCAAGCCGCGTTGCTTTGACTGAGAAGGAACCAGAGTCTGTTTCAAAGGCCTCAGCCGCTGGTATCTGTCCTCTGACAGGAGCCTTTGAATAATAACGCTGCGCTCTGGATACATCTGACATTGAACAAATTCCCTGGTTGCACAGGCCCACTGGCAACCTTCACTGTACAAAATGGTGGCAGTAGATCAAAATGAAGGATGAGAAGGCTGTGACAGCTGGAGAATGAGATATATTAGACACTGTGCATAAAAAATATGGTGTAAGGTAGAATGTATGTTTTAAATAAGTGTTGGAAAGCCCAGAATGACTTTGCATTTGCAGGCCCGTTAGCCCAGCGCCCTTGCTTTTTGTCTCAGGGCTCTCCCCAGTACAGTGTAAACACTGGGGGTAGCAGTGCCTTGCGCATAGCTATTACAGAGTCCTGTGCTTGTTAGGCTGCTAAATGGCTGTATGACAAAAACTCTTCATTCAAAGCAGAACTCCAGGGAATGTTTTTCTTAACCCTTGCAGCGAAGCCACCCCTGCACTGCAAGGGTTAAGTTCCCATTTTTGTCTAGGTTCAAAAATAAAGCTTATGCTCACCCGATCCTTCGATACAGCTTGCTCTTAGACTGGCTCCTTCCAACCTCTCTCCCTCCGCTGCAGCAGTTTTAGGTCCTGAGACTCATCATGTTCTATACACAGTGTATGCTGAGGCACATACCAAAGCTGCAGCAGAGGCGGGGGGAGGCTCCAGTGACCAGTTTAAGAGCAAGCCAGTTCGGAGGATTGGGTCAGTATGACTCTTTTTTTAACCTAGACAAAAACGAGCACTTAATCCTTGCAGTGTGAAGGTAGGCCTACTGCAAGGGTTAAGAAAACTTTCCCCCAGAGTTCTGCTTTAACTCTTGTCTCATCTGACTGAATGCAAACCTCCCTCCCAAGGCACAATCAGTACCAGGAAAGTGTTTAATAATTGACAACAATCACTAAGAAAACAACTAAATACACAGATGATTTACATATGCGAAAGCTCTTTCACCTGTCAAAGGATTTGTATTTCTATGAATCCAGTCGTGAGATTGAGACCGCTCCGCCATACAGCACAGCCCTGTCTGGCATGGGATTTTTTCTGCTGCATTTTGGTTTCATTTACAGGTCTTGTCCTTTCCCCACCTTGTGACTGGGCAGTGAAAGATGAAGCAGCAGACTGATGAGCTCATCTCTCTGCCGCTCTGCTCTCTCCTCCTATCACAATGCTGCTGGGACTGCAGCACAACTGATTGGCTATTTGTGCTGCTTCTGCCTTTACCAGCCTAAACTGTTCTGTACAGGGAACTGCAGAAGACTAATACCAGGCAACATCGATTCGAGACCCTAATTCTACTTCCCTGGTGTTTCCCAGTCTGAGCTAGTGGTTGGATCAGAGGCAGAGGTATTGATGAACTGCTTAGGCACAGATCCCACACTTGGCCACGGCTTAGACCAGGAGCCATTGGGGGCAGGATGCTGGCATATGGTGGGGCCGGGGAGCGGTCCTGCAATTAGGTATGTATTTGAGGGGTTATGATTGCGCTTAAGCTAGGCAGCAAAAAAGTGAGAGAGCCAAGGTGTTGGTCTACTCTGTTTTTCCAACCAAAACTTTTACATTTTTTTTAAAGAAAGTGAAAGGGCAGCCTCGGTCAGATTTGGATAAAGTCGCATATTCTGTATACTGTATATCTTTGGAACAAAAAAGGTGTATATGGTACAGGTATATGGATATCACTGGGATGGGAAAACACAGACAAATATAGAAGCCTAACAGGGTTTTCAGACTTTCGCTGCTCTTCTAACACTGTTGATTTTGTTCCTGTCTCTTTCCTCATTGAGTCAAGAAGTGATAGGAATCTCCATGTTCGGGACACCTCCACAGTACACATAACAAAGGCTTCCTACTGATTGCTGGTCTGGTAGGACCTCTGTACTGAGAGACAATGACCGTACAGAGACTGCTGCTTTCACACTGAGCCCAGCTGTCTTTATTTGTAGCCTCCCACTAGGACAGAGGAAACATTTAGGACAGGCCATACACCTCAAGAATTTTCTTGTCCAGCCCCATGTGCTGAACTAACGATATCGCTCAATTGCCCAATTCAGGCTAGACAGTGTGGATGTGGGAATCTCCTTTGCCAGCTATTGCTTTCGGACAGATGGGGCCCGCACCTGTCAGAATACCTGAACAATCACTGCATCTGAAAGTTCATTCGAAAATTGATGAGCTGGTACCTGCAGGGCCACCCACAGCTAGAATTGCATTAAATTCCTGCTGATTTGCCTGCAATTTGAGCCATGGGTAGCCCTGCAAGCACCACCTGGCTCAACAAAGGTTGATTTAAAAATTGAGTCAGGTGGAAAATTATCAGTCAAACAGTGACTGCACATGACAGGGCATTAGGCAGTCACAGGTGAATACAATAGCCAGCAGGTAGAGATCCTCCATCCATGCTGTTTATCATAGATGGGGGAATCGATTGATTTTCTCTCTTCAGCCCGTAGGCTGAGCATCAGAAATCAAGCCATGTATGGGGTTCCTAAGCAGACTTAACATGTTTTGGACCCAACCTGATTGCTCTGTATAGTTTATGACTGGGCTTGGGCCTGTTTGGTGAAGTTGTCTGTGAGAGTCCTCTAATCATAATGTTATTCCTCCCTCTTAATTTTCACAACCGCAGTCTGGAGGAAGAGTCCGCGTCACCACTTTGCACAGCACCATTAAAAGAGTGGAATCTGGAACTCCACAGAGACGTGAAAAGAATGACGGCAGCGTTTGAGAAACTGAAGACGTACCTCTCCCTCCTCGCCTTACCCAGTGAGTGTCATCTGCTTTTCAGGTGCAATGTAATTCCTGAAGATTTTTGTCTTTGCATATTTGCTTTTTCTTCACTTCTGCTGCAAGTTTCTCTTGTAGCGGACTCCCTAGGATATCAGATGCCGGGTTTAAGCTTCTTATCAGCCACTTTTCCAAGTCCCCTAACCTCAGCTATAATGTCAAAGGCTCCTTTTTGGTTTAGAGGGTAATTCAAATGCACAGTTTGTACCAAAAATGTGCTCCCTGAAGTATATCCACACCCAAAAGTTAAAATGTAATATTTCTGCTTACCAATGCTTAAATGTGGTGACTGCATTGGTTTTCCTAGTTTAGGCTTTTTTTAAATGTTATTTTCACTTGGTGATCTGGCCAGTAACACACTTCCTGCGTTAGGGTGGCTGCACTCTATAGGGGAGAAGCAGAGCCACCCTTCGACAGCAGCATTGTCACCCTGTGAGGAGGGTAGTAACACTTTTTAAACAGTCACAGCAACATTTTTTTTCTTTTTTGGGATAATGGTTTTACATAAATTATTAAAAGCTGATCATTGTAACCACCTCTATCAGTGTAAAATGGTTTGTCTCAACCCTCTATCACATTTGCTGGACAGCTTGGGGAGTTAAAGGAAGTTGAAAAATGGACCTAGTGGAAGGATGAATGGGCAATAAAACTATGTTATTAGGGAGGGGACTCAGAAGAGCAAAGGCAGGTGTGTTGAAGGATAATTTAACCATGTTTTTTTGCATGTACCTACTGCTAGCAAGCAGTTGATATATACAAAAACATTTTTTTTAAAAATCTGAAGATTCTTGTGCGGCTGCAAAGAATCATGATGCGGGCACATGCGCAGTAGAGATCTTTGGCCGGGAGAAGAGAGGCGTAGTCAATGTAGGCAGCCCGAAGGCGTGCACCCGCACAGACTCCATGGGACACAGAAGACACAGCAGTAAGCGCTGGATCAGAGACTGGCACCAGCGCTGGAGGGACTCCTGAAAACTACTGGAAAGAAGATGATGATCGGATCAAGAGGCATCATTTAAGGTAAGTGCTTACACCAGCATGGGGGGGAAATTGACTTTAATGTCACTTTAATGCTATTGACATAATGCATCATACATGCCATTTTTTATTTTTCCCATAGTTCCACTTCACACCTGCACCTACCAGTCTCCTAGCCCTTGTTTTTGTTTATACCCCAAATGATTTTGCCCCTGATTGTCACCCTCCCTTGTTGCAAACTCTTCTTTTCATATTCAGGACTTCTCTACTGATGTTCTATTACTCTGACTCTGTCAGTACTGAATGCTTTCAAATGCAACTCCAAGCTAACCTAAATACACTTAATCAAAATATATATATTATTAGGGTTATTCACAAAAGGGTGAAGAGTTTGGAGAAGGCAGGAGAAGTGAACAATCTAGGACACCATAACTGAACTGGAAAGTGAGCTGAATTGGAGACTTTTTTTCAGTTCCGCAATGTTGTCCTAGATTGTTCACTTCTGTCTTCTCCAAACTCTTCACCTTTTTGTGAATAACTCTGTATGTGTTTATTATTATCATTATTCAGGATTTATATAGCACCAACAGTTTGTGCAGCACTTTACAAAATGAAGGGAGACTGTATAATTTTATAATACTATTTCAATGCAGGGGGGTTAGGAGGACCCTGCTCGTGAGAGTTTTCAGTATAGTAGGAGGAGCAAGTGATACGGTAGGTGGTAAATGTGTGGAATTAGCTAATGGAAGAAGTAAAAGGACAGTTATGTCGAGGTGGGATAGGCTTCCCCGAAGAGATGAGTTTTCAGGGATAGTCTAAAGGCAGACAGAGTAGGGGATAGCTGGATAAGTTGTGGTAGGGAGTTCCAGAGGATGGGAGAGGCTTTGGAAAAGTCCTGAAGGAGAGCATGGGAGGGGGTGACGATGGAGCTGGAGAGCAGGAAGTCTCGAGAGGGGCAGGGAGGACAGTTGGGTGATATTTTGAGATGAGGTTGATGGATTTAGTTTGGGGCAAAGTTGTAGATGACTTTGTATGATGATAATATATTTTATTTTATTTGTTGGGCAAGTGGAAGCCAGTGGAGGGATTGGCAGAGAGGGTGGCAGACTGTGAACGGTTGGTGAGGTGGAGGAGTCTGGCAGCTGCATTCGTGATAGACTGAAGGGGGGATAGCATGTGTAGTGGTAGGCCAATAAGGAGGGAATTACAGTAGTCGAGGTGAGAGGTTACGTTGCCTACAAAAGTATTTGTAGTATGATCCTCCATTCTTGTGATATGCACATGCACCTTTGCAAGTCTGTTAGATCATAATAGTACTTTCAGGTTTAGCATCACCTCTTCCTGAGTCATCGTCACTGCTTTTAAGGTCATCTCATGCTCTCTGGACAGCTGTGATTATGCTGATTCAACATCCACTGGTTTTCCCTTAACCCCTTCAATCCAAGACACCATTTTAAAACAGCAGCCAATCTCCATGGCTTCTGTGTGTTCCCAATGGCACAAACGCTGGGACCGCTGGCGGTTGTGCCTTTGGGACATCGGGTTCCAGCGCTAAGCCCAGGAACTGAAATAACTAGCTCCTGGACTTCTGATGCTCCTAGAGCGCACTGTAGAGGCCAATGTAAACTGTATGTTTCTGCATTCTGTTTACACTGGAAGTGTAGATATGTCAGGGATGACATCTCAGCACTTCCTCTGTGTATGGAGGCTAGGACAGAGCTGGAGCAATAGATCGCAGCTGTAGCGATCCATTGCTGACTGATTGGTCCACTTTAAGAAATAACTACATTATGCTTATACCAGATGTATGGCAAGTCCCATTCCCAGCTTCTGAGTCTATAGAACATTCAGATATGTTGTGAATTATATAGGTTGGGCTTCACTTTTAAGAGTTGACATTCCTTTTGTATAATTTCCATTTTTAGAACTGCCCTCCTCCTCCTTTGTGTCCCCTAAGGCCTAATTCACACCTAGGCCACACAGCTTTTGCACGTTTGTACTCTGATCCTCTGATTCTGTTGGCTCCAGCTTTGATAAACAACGCCTCCCCCCAGCCCCATACGTTTTTGTTTTACATTGGTTTATGTATTTTTACTGTTTACGCTGCCATAAAGATACATAATAAGTAACCTGAAAATAGCACTTTCATTTTGTTTAAAAGTAATCACGGGTCTTCGTCAGCCAAGCAGAGGTCACAAAGCCACCAGCTGATGGAGGACAAGCTTTGCATTAGAGGTCATGAGGGCCTTAAAATGCTTCAGTATGAAGTGAAGCTTGTGTTTGAACCATTACTTTTTTTCACCTCATAAGAACCTTCTGTGAGAGATAGTGAAACAGAAGAGTGTGCGTCTGAATAGACGTCTAATGAAAAGCTCGTTCCTTCTGAGTCAGAACATCCAATCTCTCCTTTGTACAAGATCAGGAATACAAATGTCAGCCTCTCCACTACATTAACTTAGGTTTCCAGCCTTTGATGGATGTTTATTTGTTCCCCTTTTTCTGCCTGTTTTCAACCACTCTTTCCTTTCTGTCTGTAGTATATGTCAGGTCATATTTTTAAAGAAGCTATAGTATAGCAATCAGTGCTTCCAAGTTTGGAGGACAAAGACTGCAAGAGGGGATGACACATGAGTGTACTTGGATATGATTACGTCCTGGTTTGTTCTGTCCCCTGGAAGGGCAAATATAAATCTAGATGGCAGACAGAATTCCACAATTAGATTTGTGTGGATTCAGATTCGTTGTAGAGGAATAGTGTGTTTTTAAAGAAGAACTGTTGCTCGGTTTTAGATCGCCTACAGTGCTGGGAATTGTGTCAGTGTATAAAATTGTGCGCTATTCTTTAGCAGACCTTACGGTTCTTTCATGTACACATAAATCTTGGAATCTCTGGTCAGATTACAACTTAATGTAGGTTGGTGATGTCATTCCAAGCCAATGGTGTCTCATTTTTTTTTTTTTTTATATGCGTTTCCAGTTGGCCTTTGGATGTTCTGTGAGTGGGTGATGAAGTGGGGGGTTGGGTGGGTGTAATCTGCTGTGTGCGGGTTGCAAGGTGGGTGGGATGGTTGAGCTGAAAGCGGCTAAGTTAGGTGGGAAGAACGACCTGTGACTGATTAGACGGGGTGGACGGGATGTGCAGTGAACTAAGGAACAAGGTCAGTAGCAGCATTTTTATCAGCCAGTTCTGTGGCTCTTCCTGAAGGCTTTCTCCCTCCATGTCTGTGCCCCCATTGCAGTTAGGGTTGCCATCTTTTCTTGGAAAAAATATCCTGCCTTTTCATCTCTTTTCTAATAATAGCACTGGCAACACGTCCCATATCTACTGGCCAGGTGGAAACCCTCCCTCCTTGGCTTCATCTCTTGGTGGGAATGCTGTGTGAATGGCATTCACCCAGCTATACGCTGGGCAAAGCGTTTATACATCAGCCCCTGAAAGTGTTGTAACAAAATACTGAGAGTGCACAAAAATACTTGTATCACTTTTTTTCCAATCTAAAAATAAATGATAATCGTACGTTACAGTTTGAAGAACTGTGGGTTTTTAAAAAAAATCAATTTATCAAACTTTTCTCACTTGGAGTATCATTGAAATTGTAATTTGGCCCCAGGGGGTTAGGGGATTTTCGTATTGAAAAGAGTTCCTTGCATACAAAATTATTTTTTTTTCCTCCCATGTACATTTTAGGGCTAGTTTACACCAGCCACGGTGCGTACCGGGCCGATTCCGGACGGAACGCACTGGATCACATTGGCGGCCACCTCACGTTGTTGTGGGGCAGGAGGGGGTGTGGCGGTGCATTGACCTCAATGGCACTGTAGCCACACCCTCTGCCCGCAATGCAATGCACACCACTGCCTGCAGTCCAGTCAGAACAAAAAATGCTGCAAGCACTATTTTTTTCTGACTGGACCGGAATGCAGGCAAGGATGTGCCACTCGTTCCCGTGCGGCTGATCGCATTGTCACGTCCCCTCCTGCCCCAGAACAAACTGAGGCGGCTGCAATGCGATCCAGTGCGTTCCGGACAGAATTGGGTGCACTGTGGCTGGTGTGAACTAGTCCCTAAGGTTAATCTTCACTCTTGGTGCAAAGCCTTTCATCTCCATGAAAAATATATGCAGTATATGTGTATCTTCAAAATAGCTTTTGCCTCTTAAGGCATCAGCCTCACTGCATTGTTTTTAATTATTTTTATAATTGCCATAGAAAAGAAGTGGCCGCAAAAATCTACTGTTTATATGTTACTGCCTGATTCCCAAAAAATAGCATATTTAATGTAAACCTGCGCCAAGGTCATATACACCAAGTATTTCCATATTCTGATCAATAAGTAAAAGTATGTTAAAACAAGCCCACATTCACTTCTGCATCTATAGGCATTGTGGAGAAATTAGTTCACAACACAAGCCTTAAAATCTTAGCTTTTTTTATGGAGTAGAAACTTGGCAACCTGCAAGCCCTTTAATGTACACAACTAGCAGGTGTTTTAAATTGACTGAAACTAACTTCAGAGTCTTTGTTGTGATCTCTGCAAACTCGGAGAAGAAGGTATTTTAAGACATTTAAGGTGTCCATACACCTTACAACCATCGCAAGACTTTTGTCTTGCGATGGTTGTAAGCTAATTAAAAGCTTGTACGATCTGCCCATCTTGGACAGGCAGATCGTACTTGCGATCATCGCAAAACGGGCAGTGTGCGCGTGCGCACACCGGCCCAATCGCCAGTTGTCGAACAAGCAGGCCACTAACCCGCCGAGAATCGTGCTGATCGTATGCTCGCCAGTCTGCAGGGATCTCCAGTGATATCATTCACCATATATGGACTTGCCCATATGTGATAAATGATTAAGTGAGAGAGAGAGGGCTTCTTCCTCTCTCTCTCTCTCTCTCTCTCCCTGCCCTGTGTGGCACTGACATGCTAAAATCACTGGGGATCGCTGATGAGAGAGGGGAAAGAGGGCTCTCTCTTCAGCATTTACTACAAATGGGCAAGTCCATATATGGTGAATGATGTCACTGGGGAGGGAGGGGATCAATGCACTGCACACTACACGTGAAGTAGGGGACATGCAGGTAAGGAGAGAGCTGTGTGCACAGAGCTGCTGCGCATGTCCATATATTCGTGGACGCGCAGCAGCTCTCAAGAATCACTGTCAGTCACAGTGACGAAGATCAGTGGGGGAGGATCCCGGCAGCATTGTTGGGATCTCTCCTCATTGCTGCGCTTAGCCCCGCCCACCATCTTAAAGAAGCGTTTACAGGCTTAGGGTGCATTTTGGCTAATAGGAGTAAATTACACAATTTACTTATTTAGCCTAAGGAATGCAATAATAAAGAAAAGATAGAACCCCATAGTTCTCCTTTTAAGAAGCAAAAATCTGTCACCCATCATAACATTTTGTTTACAGCACTATAAAAAGATAAAAGGGCATGAACCTTTTAATAAAAACATCTTTTAAATTCAAAAAAAGGATGGGTGGGAACAATGTTATGGTACAGCACAATAACCTCATGCATGCAGCATTTTCTTTACTGTCTGTTATTTGCTAGCTTATAATCTATTTATTTATTTTTGTAACTTACTAAATGTTTTATTGCACACATCTTCTGAGATGATCACATGTGTGATGTGCAGCATTTTCTATGTAAACATGAATTAACAAAGATTATTGCAATGCTTCTTCTGCTGCTAAAAATACTTCTAGTTTCTGGATGGTGCTCATAGTGAGGCTGTGTGAGACGGCTATTAAGCAGTGTTGGGAAAGGAGCCTTTCAAAGTGCTGAGAAAATACTCATGAGAAATAGAAGCTTTCAAACATACAGACTTACATGTCGTTATGTAAAATAACAATTGTAAATGTGATAAGCGTTCTGTAAATTAAGCATTTTTCATGTGGAAAATGCCATAAGATAAGAAAGTGCATGTAAAAGAACTTGTTTTGTGAATTGACTCTATCACAGGGTAAGGTAGACCCTCTGTATTGCCAAGGGCACCAGGCAGGCCAGATGCTAGAATGGTGTAGGTCATCAAACAGATGGCCAGAGTCAGCAGAGTACAGTTTCCAGACAGGTAAATGGAACAGTGATCGATGATAGCAACAGGCCAGTGATCAGGATATGCACAGATAAGCTGAGTACAAATGCATTCCAACAAAAACACAGGACTAATTCAAGGCATCAACAGTCAGAGAAATGTCAGAACCTGATACCTCTATCTTGGGTATGGGCAAACTGGCAAACCTATTGATCAGGCAAAAGCCTAAATCTCTGGCTTTGCTTTAGGGCTTGTTCACAACATGTCCAGACCAGAACAGTTTGTTCCCGGACCAAAAAAGCATCTTAATGTATCCCTATGATATTTCTGGGCTCTGTTCACACCAGCGCAATCCAGACAAAAAAAATACTGCTCATCTCATTTTCTCTGGTCTGGAATGCATGCAAACGCACTGGGCCACACCTGAAAGCCTATTTTAAGCCAAAAACCCCCCAGCTCCAGAACATGGTAAAAATGCAATGCACTGCGTTTGCAGATATCTGATCCAGACATGGTGTGAACCCAGCCTTAGTGTTCACTAATGAGGGCAGGCAGGTGTGCACAACAGAGACTTGAGCGCAGTGCTAAGTAATAGCCAGCAGATGGTGAGCTTTTAAGCCTAATCATTTCAGATACAAATGCATTAACAAAATAAAAAAACAATACAAAAACATGTGTTATTCACAAAAGGGTGAAGAGTTTGGATAAGGCAGGATAAGTGAACAATTTAGGGCAACATAGCTGAGTTTAGAGATTAAGAAGCAGAGGGCATGTAGAGAGAGTGGTAAAGGATGTAAATTGACTATTGTGGCGGGAAGTGAGAGAAATCAGAAGTATCATTAAAGGAAATAAAAGATGGATGATCTTGAAAAGATGTAAATGTCTGGCAATCCAAGGCAGGTGATGAAGACAGCTGCACACACACTGGAGATATGAAGGAGGTCCCTCCATGGGCTGTAAGTAAAAATGAACTGACCCAGGCATCCCATCTCCCGGCTTCTTGGCACGCTCCCTGGACCCCCTTTCCGCAGTTCTTTCTCCTCCTGGTAGGTCTCTTGTATACCTTCTTTTCCTTTAAAAAGGGAGAGGAAAGAGTTGCAGCCAACATGTTACAGGCTGTAAATTTCATTGTCCCAGGGATAGACACTCGCACTCCAGAAACATCTAATTGACCTGAACCAGCATTTGTGTAATCCGGGGTTTCCCTTTAACCCAGAGTAATCCTCGGCCCACACTGCTGTGTGTGTTTGGTGCCCTCAATAGATGTGTGGTGGATGTGTGTAATAATCCAGCATTAGCATAGTGTTTCTCCAGGGCCATTCTGCAATATTAATGATCTGATTCACATTCTAATAATCTATTTTTACTAATTATTGCAGGCACAAATCCAGAGGGTTTAGTGAGAGCCAACTATGGCTCCATCCTGACACAGATTTCAGGCGCTCTCCACGGACTTCATGATATATTGAAAGGTAATGTTTAGAACAATACTTCATTTATTTTCTAAGTGCTTCTCTCTGTAATCGGATGCACAGAGCACATTATCGCTGCTGTGTTTCTAACAAGGTTTTTTCCTTTTCTTCTGCTAAACAATAAGCTCCCTACAGCTTGTGATCCTTAACTACTTCATGGCTCCACTCTGCTTACCATACAGAATGTATGTACATTACATAAAGATAGATTTATGCCGGTAAAATCACAAACTTACCCCTGCAGTGTGGCTAACCCGTACTGCAAGGGTTAAGTGCACGTCCCACCTGCTCCCTCCGAGCTGCTAGACCGAAGCCCTCCGCACCTTCTCCCCTAGGCTCCGATAGTCTCAGAACCGCTGACATCATCACTTCTTATGCAGGTCAGCCTTCTCAGCTATCTTCTGTGAATAACAGAACACCACCCACCTATGTGATAAAAAGGGGGAGGTATTTGTAGCCTAACCCACAAGAGCAGCTTAGGGTGACAATGCTATTCCTCCATAGATACAGTACAGTGAGTAAGCAGAACATTAGGGAAAAGGGAGGTGAATGAAGCCACCACACCTAAGGACTGGTGAGCTACAATGTATGACATTTTTGTTTTTGGGTTTAGATGCCCTTTAATGCTGTGTTAATTTGAGCACATGCCCTTGGCTCTGGAAGCTTGGTCTATACTCCCTGTTGATACAGACAATACTTTCTAATTTTTACATAGTGGATACTCAAATTGCTTGCTGAAGTACAACAACTCAAGGTAGATTATAATGTTTCTAAAGTTGATGATTTCACCATAGTGTCTTTCAGAATTATATTTCCCTAAAAGGTAAAGCTACACGATATGACCTACCTATCTGTATGGCCAAAGATACTGTATGTGGATTGTTCCAAATGAATAAATTCAGAGAGTTTCCACTAAAGGATACAGCAAACAAATACTTTTTAGACAATTGCATGCTTCAAACCTTGTGGGAACTTTTTGGAGAAGGCCGTTTTCTGTTCCAACATAAAGCCAGGTCCTTAAAGACATGGTTTGAAGAGTTTAGTGTGAAGGAATTTGCATGGTCTTCACAAGAGCCCTGACCTCAAATCTATTGAACACTAGATCCAGATCTTCTTATCCAGTGTCAGTACCTGACCTCAATTGGTTGAACGTGCACACATTCCTACGAGCACACTCCACAATTATGTAGAAAGTCTTAGAGGAGTGGAGGCTTTTATTGCCACACAGGGTGTGCCAAATCCACATTATTTCTCATGGTTTTGGAATGTGATGTTCAATAATCTTGTGTAGGTGTGAAGGTCAGGTGTCCACAAACTTTTAAACACAAATAAGAGCAAAGCGCCATGTCCTCATAAATTTAGATTTGTATTTTTCATTAACGTATTAAAAAAAAGACAGGTACTTATAAATTAAAGGCAATAGTGGTTGTCCAAATATGATGGACCCACTGAATGCCAAATTTTTGGTATGTGTATGTCCTGTGTGTGAAACCAAAGCCAACTTTTTTTTATATCTCTTAT